AATATGTCTCGCATATGTTTGAACACGTATGCAACTATGCAGTATGCAGCCTGTGAAAACATATGCATACGATTACGAACGATGAACCTTGATAGCTTTGATGACGGTTGAATAAGACCAAAGGGACTGAAGGGAAAAAATACATTTTACATGTGTTCTCTTTACCTACTATAGTGGATGCTATGATTTACGGGTAGAAATTTGTTCCGAATTGTTGTGCGGTATCTTTTTGCGACTTCTGCCGGGCCCTGCTGAGCTTTACCCAACAGCTGCTACAAGCCTCAAGTCAGCAGCCAGTAGATACTGGTCCGTATATGATTTAGATCCGATATTATGGAGCATTACTTCGGACACAGTACGGAATACGGGGACGTGGTCGCACCTTCCTTATTCGTATGCTCGCTTCTTAGTGACCACTCAAACTTGCAGTCACTGGTCAGCGAGAGCCCAATCTTTTAAAATGCCGTACTATTCTATTCACGGCATTTGGTAACATTTAGAGTGATACCAAAGTGGTGACAAACGGTTATCCGATTCAACGAAATGATTCTTTGGACTGTCAAGATACGATGGACTGAAATGCGTGAAAACCATTTTGCATTTGATAGTCATTTTCTGCAGCTGATCTTCAGCCAGTGCTGCCATATCCATTCCACGGCGTTTATAAGATTGAGCTTGAGCCCAGGAGTTGCAACTCCCAGCCATGATCGAATCGATGGCTCCCGTTCTAATTATTGGTCACTGGCGAGTCTTTTTGTCTGTGACGGCGGTCACGACAACCTCCCCCCCCCCCCCGCCTGATACCGTGACCTGGGACCATTGAGGGGGTTTCAAAACGAATGATAAGCGACCTATGCCACAGTTGATTCAGTGGACGCTGGTGCCAGAATATTTCATTTCGGCGTTAGGAATCGACATAAGTGTCCCTTGACAACACTTACTATGTTAGGGCCTGATAATCCATGTATCGCCGGTATATAGGGCCTTGGTATCACCACAAGCATACCGATAAATAGCACTTGATAGAAGAACATCCATAATGCCTACTTTAACAAAAATCAATATTTTCCTGATGAACCTATGAAATAGCTATTGCGGACGGAAGCGGTAGTGATCCCGCTCCAGTCTTCCTGCACAGCGGCAGCGGCAGACAGCCGCGGTGTCGCGACCTGCCTCTATGCATGGTGTCCTGGCTGAGTGCCAGCACCCCGACTGGTGGGCGTGCTCGGTGCGACGGACAGGGAAGGGTGCCACGGACAGTGACTGGTCGCCTGTCCTGTCCGGCCCCGGTCCCGTCCTGTATCGCGGTACCCCGTTCGATCCTATTCTGTTCTGTATTGCGGTCACTCTGGTCGAATTTCGTTATGTGTCATGTTCAGTGTGAGTGTTGTCGCGAAGTCAGTCGTATTCAAGACGCTGCGTACTAAAATTCTCGGATTGTCTCGCATGTCTCCTGATCATTCCTCCTATAAATCTGACGGAATGGCTGCCTTTCTCCCCGTGTTATCACCCAGAATTACAATTCATCTCTCTCTGAGCTCTACCAGCAGTCGGAATGTTCTATTGCACTCAATCACACTGTGTTCCACCTCGTCAGTTGTCAGATCCGATCTGTCTGTATCTGACTTCATCTTATCGCCCGGTCTTCTTTTAGAGCCGCCCTCGCACACGGCTAGAAACACCGAACTTTTTCTCGGAACGGCGCCGACACCGTACCGTGAGCTCTGGGAGTCGTCCAAACTCGTCGGCCACTCCATAACTACAGCTGAAAGAGCGGCCGCCGCAAAAGGATATGTTTATGATTGCACACAATGCGGCATGTGACATAGACATTCTCCTAAAATACGGCGAGATTGCAGGACAATGGACACAAAGCCGGAACTAAGGGCAGCGTTCCCTGAAACGGGCCAGAGCGAGACGGCTTGGAGTTTAGACATGGCCAGCTAAAACCAACCCTCACCAGGATATTGGGCGGATTCACATGCAAACTTGGACGGATTTCCAAAAATGGAGCCTTCTCGAGAGCAGCTGATTCCGCTGTTGTTTGGTGAATGATGCAAAACTTTTGAAGAAGTGTTGTCTCTGAGGGAGTAGTTGGACTCGAGTCGTTCTTTTGATTTTGAATTTCATTTGTTCATTGTTTCATCCGCGTGGCAACGTCGCTCGATTTCTGGTTTCCATCCATGTCGCGACAAGTTATATACCGCTTATTAACCATTAATAACTCAAACTTCTCCCTAAATGGTGCACATTGTGTCTATTGGACTTCAATGCTTACAAAAATGGCTTCGTTGCGACTTCATGTGAGAGAGGTGGGAGAAAGAGTTTGAACCATTTCACCAGTCACCAGCGCAACATTATGCCCTTTCGTTTCGGTTAATCATGGCGGTTTCTACCATTGATGGCAACGCCTTGATGGTGTTTGATAATCGCCCCCGTATAAGAAGCACACCGGCCGCCACATCTCGCATGATGGTCTCGGCGTAATAAAGGTGCAGAGCCTACATATGTCGTGCGCAAATTACACTTTAATGATCGCCCGTACGCCGCACGCAAAAACCCAGATTGTGTTTTGTTGGCTCCATTATGAGTTGAACGCATTGTGCGTCACACTCTTTGTGCTACAGATCGCACTGAGTAATGGTTTCGGTGCGGTATTCCGGTCATTTATTATATTAGAGGTGGTGTTGACGCTCATGCTGTTCGTTATCATGACCAGGAGAATTAAAATCCAACAAAGAGTATTGCATCAGTGCACATTAGAACTTGAACTTCAATTTCAACGAGTTAGAAATGGAACTAAACCTTTAATATCTAGGCAGTCCCTAAATTATGACAAATATAATTAACACTATTATGTTGTTCAACCCTGAGATCTTGTGCACAAAAACAGCTTCCTTGCAAAACCATTGAGATAATAAACAAAAATAAATCTACAATGCACATAACTGCTGGCAGGTGCGGTACCCTCACCTCCGCCTAACGAACTTCTCATCGCTCCTTTACGCCGCTTTTTCGCTCCACTAGTCTATCAAACCGGTGACTGGTAATCAGCGAGAAAACAAAGAGCCATCAGCCGGCAACTTGTCCAGCCCCCGAGGCCCACGTTTTTGACCGCAGCTCTGTTTTTCGGCTCACCGATGCACTGATTTCTCGGATAGACTCCTGCGCCGGGGGTGGGCCATCCATCACGGGGCGTTTTTGTGCGGCATTTTTATTTCGCCACTGGCGGGCGAGCAAAGTTTGCGAGCGACGTTTGCGGCTGAAATCCCGGGGGATCGGTGGCGTTAAGTCCGTCATTGTTGCAGTGTTGCCGTCCTGGTACTATAGTACCAGATCTGGTACTTTTTCGACCTTTCTGGTACCGAGGTACGCCGGAACGAAATCTGGTACTTTTTCGCCGAAATGCATTCTTGGCATTTTAATATTTCTTTCGAGCTAAAAAAAAACAATTATTTTAGTCAGGGAGGATGGTGTTTCTTATCATAATTTGTCATGCATCAAATTCGGAATTATTAATAGGCCTACCTATTACTGTTGCGTGTGCTAGCAGAAGTAAACAAGTGGGAAATTCGCGCGCCACGCCGGCTGCCAAGGACGGGCCGTCGGCTGCAGGCTGAGGCAGTTGTATCCAAGATTCTTACAGGTTGCATCCAAGGCCATATAAGAGTTTGTGTCGTGAGTTGGAAATCGGAGTTGTAATGTATTGTGAACAGTGAAATGTGAGTTGCGTCGACGGTCAAAGTGATAAGGAAAGAGCCTTGTTTGAATCAGTGACCCAAAATTGTGCGATTTGGTTGGAAAACTAAATGACACCCAACAAATAATAATTTTCCATTATCACTGGCATAATACTGTGGCAATTTTCGCTCCTTCACTGCAAGCTAGGATCCTGGGTACAATCGCCAGTCTCAACGGTACACTTAAGTGCCCCCTCCCCCTTTCGAAAGGGCAGAATTTCGATCTTATTTTTAGGCCAATTTTAGGTACCTACACATGAATTCGGGCTTTCAGAAGAGCACCTTTCTGCCTGTATGGGGCGACGCGGGGAGACGAATGAGTCGAATTACTGGGTCAAATGGGTCATAAATTACTTACTGGCATGAACATACCGCAATTATGGCTATTTTATAGTAATGAACTAAAAACGTTTTGACCTACTACGATCTGGTACGGTACGCAGCCAGAAACAGCCAATCTGGTACGATTTGGATGCGCTCTTGGTACGCTGTAAAATCTGGCCGCGGCAACACTGCATTGTTGGCTCCTGGCGGCGCGGACTGCGAGGGGCTAGGGAGAAGGGGCGAGTTGCGCTGAGACGAGCTGCGCTGGGACGGTTGGACGCCCGGGGGAGAGAAAGGAGCGGCTGAATGCAATCACTGCTTCTCAAATCATGGCGGCGTTCTGATTTAGAAACCGACCTCGTTCTGCTGTGCAGTGACAGCATGGACAATGGAGTGGGCTAAATAGTGATTCCTGATGGGAGTGCATAGGAATGTAAATGACCCAGTGGCTGATAGTCCTGAGATGAGTCGCGCGCATATCGAAGAATGTGATGTGGGGTGGGTGGGTCATGACTGTTATGTAATGACTAGTATGACTATTGGAGCATCAATAGCACCTGTTGGCTGTTGAGGCTTTTGTTGTAGTGTGATTCGAGCATGTCCTGTCATTGCACGTTTGTAACAGTCACTAATGACTAACCTGATGAACATACTCAAACGCCTGCGAATGCATGCAGACGAAGTAGTTGTCTCGAATGATGTGTGTGCAGGTAAACCACAATACTGGCAGCATTTATGAATGATTCGTTCAAAGTCTGCAACAACTCGTGAAATCACCGCCAAAACTGCGTTAAAAAGTAGTATTCTTTATGTGACGCTGCTGACTCAAATCCTCTATAACAACAGCCACAAGACCCGCCATCACCTAACCATCCCTCCTATCGCCCAGATACCGGGATCAGCCCACTGACGTTCCTCCATTCTGTTTGTTCGCAGCTGCCGTGCAAGAGAACGGACTGCCGCGCCGCCTGCGCACTGCCTACACCAACAACCAGCTGCTCGAGCTCGAGAAGGAGTTCCACTTCAACAAGTACCTGTGTCGGCCGCGCCGGATCGAGATCGCCGCCAGCCTCGACCTCACCGAGCGGCAGGTGAAGGTCTGGTTCCAGAACCGGCGCATGAAGCACAAGCGGCAGACGCTGACGAAGAACGGTGACTCGGAGGAGGAGCGAGCCCTGCAGAAGGTGGAGAAGCAGCGGTGCGAGGAGGAGTGCGGCGTCAACGGCTTCTGCCGAGCCCCCGACCTGCCGCCCGACTACCAGAAGCGCCTCATCGAGAAGACCGAGGAGATGAAGAGCGAGAGGAACAACAACAACAGCAGCACCGAGGACACTCAGCAGGCCAGTCCGGAGGCGGTGACGCCTGCAGCGACGGCGGCGGCGGCGGCGGCGGAGGCGGCAGCCAGTCCAGCGGAGGACACAGTGTCCGGCTCGGAGAGTCGTCGCGACTCACCGAGACCAGGCCCCGAGAGTCCGGCGGGCTTCTCGCCCACGTCTCTGCAAGGAGCCGGCTCGCCCGAAACCATGGCCTCGCCTCCGGCAGATATGGTGTCCGCGGGACCCGCTCCGAACCCCACTGCCTCGGCCAGCGCCGCCGGTGGTCCAGTGGGTCAGGTCGCCGGTCCGATGGGTCACATCAGCGGTCCCGTGGGTCCCGTTGGTCCTGTCGGACCGGTCGGACCTGTGGCGGTCGCCGCTGGTCAGTTCGCCGGGGCTGTCTCTCCACCTGCGGCTGCTCCCGCCGCCCAGGTATCGCCCGGAGTCCCGCCAGTCCCGCCGCAAGTGCCACCGCCAGCCGCGGCGTATGTGGCGCAGCCGGCGCGAGCGGCGCGCCACCCGCAGACGTATGCGGCGCACCAGCAGCAGTACCAGAGACCGGACCAGGCGGCGGTCTACTACCAGCAGTACGGTGGGTTCCCCGCCGGGGGCGGGCGGCCAGGGCCGAGCGGCTACCCGACCCAGGGGTACCCGACGACCGCCCGAGGCCCGCGACCCGCCGCCGCCGCCGCCGCCGCAGGACAGTACCCGTACCAGCGCGGCTACAGTGATGGATACGGCGACCAGTACGCCGGGTACGGCCGGCCGTGCCCCGGCTACGACCAATCCGGCGGGCAGTACATGCAGTACGGCGAGTACACCGGGTACCAGAACGGCTACGCCGTGCACGCCACGGCCGCTCAGCAGCAGCAGGGCTACGTCCAGTACGCTGCCAACAGCTACGGACCGCAGTACGCCGCCGTGGCCAAATCGACCGGCTACGTCACGACCGGGCACAAAATGTGTCCAGTGGAGTACGCGGCGCCCGTGCCTCCGAAGGCGGCGATGGACTATAAGACGCAGGGCACGCCAGAGGAGGTACAGAAAATCGCCGAGTTCACCGCCAAGGGTGACCCAAAGCACGCCGCTTTCTACGGCCAGTACGGCGAGCACGGCGGCGGCTACGGCGAGTACGCCGCGGGGTCGGGATCTCAGGCGAGCGCCGAGTACGGCTACTTCGACAGCAGCGGCGACAGCACCGCCACCGACTTCAACTTCTTGTCGAAACTGATGACGGACGATTCGTCGCACTACTTCCCAACGATCTGCAAGGAGTAGCGACTGCCGCTGTGTGGGCTGTTGTATGCTGTAGTGGCGGCAGCGTCAGCTGCGACGCTGACGACGATGGTGGAAGCTTCTGGCTAACAGGGTCACTGTGTGGTAGGCAGTCTGATGCGTGATGCTGGGACCTCCCGTTCTTGGGACGAGGTCCTGCAAGAGACGGTGCTAGGCTGGCGATAGCCGCGTGGCAAAGGTGCGATACAAAGTGTGGGCTTTACTGAAGGGCGCTCTGAGAAGCAGGCAGTATTATTCGGTGACGTAGACAGTGATTGAGACAGCTGGACTGGGGAGTCGGACGTCGAGTGGGGGCCGCGGATTCCCTGGAAGTTGGAGGCGGCACTCGTGACTTGGGTTCTCCGCGGAGCTGTGTTAGATTGTTTCTTATGCTGTCGTCATGTCTGAGTGAGGGTCGAGTTGAACTTGATCCATAATGACCGTGATCAGAACGTTGGCACCATTGTCAGAGGCGCACTATCTCGCTGTTTGTTTTATATTTAACTGGTATTTTCAATGTGTAACTTCTTCATGCTTTTTGAACGCGCTTCTAATTCAGTTTGTTGTACTTCTTATTTTGTTACTGCTCGTATTTAAGGACTCGCTGATCTTATTCTGCGTTGCGTGTAATACTCTCTGGCAATTCCTAGCTAACCAGCAACACTTGGCTATCCGCGCGACCTGCGCCACTGACCCCACGACTCACGCCTTGCCGCGGACTGACTGCGCCGCGTTCGGCGCCCCAGGCATATTCGCGACGCACGGCTCGCCCAAGGCGACCCTGGCGGTCACACAGACTAGAATAGCGCCGGCCGGGCGGCGGCGAGCGAATGCCCTAACTAGAGACGTTTGGATGTTATCGTTGCAGGGTGCACGGGACGCGTGATCGGCGCGCAGTGAGCGCTCGCTCGGGGCAATAGGCAACCTGATTGTTGTGTCGTTTGTGGCTGGTCATGTGGCAATGCGTGAAATAAAACATCGGTGAACATCGCGGCCTGTTGCAACATTGCTGATTCAGGGGCGCCTGGTGATGAGCTGAGGTCCGAGATAACTCGGACTGGGGTGCAGGACAGCTCAGCACTGGCGGGTAGGTGATGGAAGGCTCTCAAATGACCGGAAGTCCTGACAAGAAACACACGCCCGATGTCGCGACGGAGCTCGGCCAGCAGCATGACAAATCACTGTTATTCTTCGGCTCTCCTGCGGGTCTTACGACGTCGTCTCCTGACGTCACACTAACACGACGTCACGAGTACCCCTGCATCACTGGTCTCTCGACACTTCGCGACACGTTGCTGTCTCTCACCACACGCCTGCGTTGGCAACAGTGTCTGGTCACATGATCGCCGAGCCTCACTAATTGAGCGGTCAGGTAGGATGCACCCCTCTGTGTAGATGACGGCCGCGCCTTCTTTGCGTCGGGTCTCTGCGGGATGCCACAGAACCCAGTCTCATGGTAACGGCTAGCACGAGCCCGGCACCGTATCTGATCTGATGGTCCAATGACAGGGGCCCAGTCGTCAACCCATTGGCTGCGAGGGATGTGTGACCCCGTTTAGCAGGCCTGCGACTTGCGAGGCGTGGGTTGTAAGGTGATGCAATGAGAACTGACGGACAAAAAGGTGTGGCTTGGGGGCGTCATCTAGCTGCATTTCAGACTGATCACGATAGTTTTTTATTGACGGATTTTTCTTTCTGAAATGATTTGAAATCAAATCAACTTTGATTTCAATATTGCGTAGGTGACGTGTAATTGTCACAGAAAAATCGTGGATTTGGTCTCGCATCGAATGTCATTTGTGCATTCAAATTTAAGTATTTAGGGTAGGTACTTGGCAGGCTATTTCTACAATTTCAAGCACACCTCACTGATACTGAAACTTCAATAGCATTATACCCTCATCAGTCTTTATCATTGCCATTCAATAAAACAAACGTTTGGGAAACAATAATGGAATGCTATATCGTCGGAGGCAGTATAACGCTCCCACTCTAACCAGAATGCAGCATCATACCTCTCATTGAACATTACTCTGACCTGACAGCAGAGCAGCTCCCAGTAAACAGCCTGTGGGTCCCCACCGACCAGCCACTCCAGCCCACCAGCCGCGTGCAGACCTCTGACGATGACGAAGCTCTCCGCCCCTCCTCCCCCCCCCCCCCGGCGAACCGGTCGGGGCCGCGAGCCGGTGACGGACGCTATCGATGTCCTGAATGGACCAATCGGCTCCATTTGACAAGGGCCTGTCGGGGTTATCTGGCGGCTAGAGAACGGCCGGCTCAGCCGGCCGGCCGCTCCCCGCTCCCTCCCCGCTCACCCCGCCTCTCTCGCCGGCACCTTTTTACCGGGGTGGGAGCGCACTGCGAGTCCAGATAGAACGACGGGGGAGGCTGCAAATTCAGGACGGTGAACAGACCAAAGTAGTGGTCCTAATGCTGATTTGAATGCAATGGAGCTGGAAAAAAACGCACTCAAAACCTGGGATGCAGGGTGCAATTTCATTCATGATTTTTTTTTAAGCTAATATGGCTGTAGTTTGTACGAGTAAGTTTGAATGCACGTTCGAAAAAAAAACTAGTTTGTTTACCAATACGCTCTATCAAGCAAATGTAGGAAAATTATCTATGCCTATCATTGTTAACCTTCAAAAGGCATCCACCACTGTCCTACATTGTAGCGCACCGATCGGAAGCTCTCTGTCACAATCCCTCGTAATAGCACAGTTCCCTGGTGAAATCCAGGCTAAGTGCCGCCAAATTAGTGACCCCAGGTCAGGGTGCGGCTGCATATAACTGACGCTCGCTGTCAAACCCCTAATCCTTCACCAGACCCGCATAGGTCCAACCGCTATAGCTAACCAGCGCAGTGGTAGAGCACCGCGCCGCCGCCGCGCCGTGGAGGGGGCGGGGGCGGCGGCGGCGGCCCGGGATCGCGTTGTCACTGCCGGCGCCGTGCCGTCACCGTCGCCGGCGCCGCTCGCATGCCTGCCATCATTACAGCGGCCGGTCTGTAATGATATCCTGCTGCTGAAGGCCTTGGGCCGCAGCACTGCCGCACAGCCGCCTGGCTTCCACAACAAAAACCGTCTCTCACTGATGACGCTCTGCGCGGCGCACGCGGAAGAAAAAAACGGCCGAAATTATCTTTTAGCCATATCCGCCCTCTGGTTACCTCGGCGACGATTAATCAAACGACCAGCCGGCAATTGGGCTCATTTTTTGCGACTCGGGTTTGTCCGTCTGTCTGCCTGTCTGTGCGGTGTCTATCGGCGTACTGCAGGTGCGTGTGTGCGATTGTTCTCACTCGAGAGCGCGCCGCGCCGTCTCGGGTGAGAACTATTGATGCCGGTGAGGAGGATTCGTATGATTAGCGCCGTAGATGGATGACTTAATACGCGGCTACGGTACCGGTCAGCGTCACAATGGCTGTCGGTCCGGCGGACGCGGAGGCTCTCCGCAACAGGTACTTTAGCGGGTCCAGACGGCAGCGGTGGCGGGCGGCGGGGTCACAGCTATACAGGTATACGCCGGTTGTCGGGGTCACGCGATGAGAGAACACTGCACTGTGAGAGGAGGAAAACATTGAAGTGCGGAGTTGTTACAAGACCGCTGACAGATCACTGTTGTCTTAGCTATATCCAATAGAAAGGGCTATTAAAGTGTCACTGGCTGATTCAGAGCGATTGTTTAGGACGCCGCGCGGGCATACCCATACTCGCCGAAAAGATTATCCTATTTGTAAAAAAAGAAAACCCCCTAGGTTTCGCTTTCTGAATCGTTGCTGTGCAATGCAAAACAATCTTTTTCTCTAATAAAACTTGTTAAGTTTTCTCTCTATGTAAATACGCCGAGAGCATTTTTGTCAGTTTCGGACAGTGCGGGAGGGGCAATTGTCCCCCTTGAATCCTTGGATCTACCAGTATGCACTGTGCAGCGTGCAGTGTTTGAATGACATCTTCACTTGCTTATTGTTATTTACATTCTTTGCGTTTCTCTCACAAACATGTTGAAGTCGCTCCGTGGTCGAGATACATTTGTTGATGATCCTTGACCGTAATATGCTTGAAATCCTTTATATCTTCATTTCTTGATAACAATTCAAACATAAACGAGTGAAATCAACACATCACTCAGCTAATCTTTGGCAAATCTGTTGTGAAAGGATGAGAGGTTGTGCAACAAAAGGATGTGATATTTCGCTCCAATGGTGCAAGTTGTCGCTCTAATGACCCTGGATGCCTATAATAAAGAAAATGACTGTGCCGACAGGAACGCAAGTGGAACCTCATACCCAAACTGCGCCTTGCATGTGTTCAAAACAGCAAGTCACAAATCATGTACATTTTTCAGCGGTGGCACTGTCATTCAAGCATGTATACAGCGATTTGTCATCTCACGCTGTGACATTTCCGCTGCGCCGTCACTGGACTGTGTCAGTTTCCATGTCATATGTTCGCCGGGTGCACAGCGATTACGCTGCACTCTTTGGTGAGTTCGTGGGAGATCGGGCAGGGCTGGTCGGCAGTTGAGCATTGCACGCTGCTTTCTTCGGGAACTGACAAATAGCTGGCGGTCATTTGTGGGACAGGCAGGGAATTACTGGTTAAGGTGGCTCGCACCGAAAGGTGTTGACAGGGTACCTTACTTTCCTAATGATTAATCGTGTGGGTAATGAAATTATATTCTTATTTTGAACAATGAAAAGCTATAGAGCACCTGACCCAGTGCAGTCATCAAGAGAAACGCCATGTAATGTACTGTGTAAACGGATTACTTGCTTTTCATCTGATCTACATCTCGCTACACACTACACAAACTTTATCACAATAACTGATTCCTCAACTGTCCAGCGTCTTCCGCGTTCGAAACTAGTTCGAGCTGCCCAACTCTCATCGGTGTGCTCTTCAGGTCAGGCGGTGCTCAGTTCTCTATATACCGTGGCGGTGCTCATCCCTATCTACCCAGTCTCTCCCCGAGTCGGTAGATAGACAGTGCCGATCTGGCCAGCTCAGACGGGGTAACTCATCCCCATCTACCCAGCCTCTTCCCGTGTCGGTAGATTGACAGAGCGATACCAAACTGACCGAACCGGACGCCTACCGCGGAGGCTGGCAGATTCGCCGCTTATCGGGACACACGCCAATCGAGAGCCTGCTCAGTTGCACGCGTATCGATAGGAGTTCAGTCAGCTCAAAGAGTCGCATCCGAGCTATGTGGTTAAGACACTTACAGAGGCAAGCATGGTGATTTGTCAGAAGAGGACATTTCAGAAGAGCCAACATGGGCCATCACAATTTTGTGTTTTTTACGTCTTGCATTGCATAATTTACGTTCAGCACCTTGGACATAGGCCCAAGAAAAGTACTTTCTCGTTCATCCATTTATGCTAGGCTGAAACACTTTTAACTTGATAGAAAATTAGCAGACTGCTTAGCTTGAAGACAGTGTGACTTACCGCCTTCTACGGCCTGAATGACGTTTTCCTACACGGACATTACAAAACGGACAACGCGTAGGAAGGCTTATTCGAATCCGTTTGTGATCAGAACACTGGGAGGAAAAGCAAAGCGCTAGAAATTTTGATTATTTGTGATGCAGTCAACAACATCGTGTAGGACTCTGCACGCTGCAATAAGCGTATCTCTTTATTGCAGAAACCAGTTGTATCAATCGGTAGGTGACCAATCGTTCAACATTGCGATGCTTAGCTAATGGCAGATCGTGAAGGAGAGACGCTTCGGACCCTTCTGTACTTAGTATAACAATAGTATAACAATAATAGCAACAATAGTACCATATACTTTCTTCTAGGGCTGGTTTCGTGTCTGGTCTGAACTAAAACCGATGAACGGGGAAGCGCAATACAGGAATTCGGGCTGAATGAAGTGTGTCGCATGCGGAGGTATGATGAGGTGGTGCACATTATTTTTGGGGGGTAATTGGACTTGCATATTTGCATTCAAACTTATGAACAAAGTTTCAAAAGCA